TTGGGAAAGTTACTTTAATTACTCTCTTAACACTTTAATGTTGTTAATTGGTGATGTATGTAGCATCGTTGGTGGTTTAGACCTGAGTTCCTCAGTCTTTTTTCTCTATTTCTTCCCTAAGGAGTCTTTTTAGATTTTTTTTTCCTAAGGTGGCCCCCACCTCCAGAAAATTCTAACTCCAGAGAGATACTGTAGGTCTGTTTATGTATTTTATGTATATCTGTGTTTTATACAAGAGTAAGTTTTTCTGCCTCTTTCCTCCAAAAATCAGTGTTCCCCCTTGAGGGGCAAACTGTGTATGTTGAGGGTGTACATTTTATAAGCAGTGGATTCTCAAAATTTTGGTGTAAATACCCCAAAGGGCTTTTGTGTATGAGAGTTGTATCTAGTGAAATTCATCATATTAAAAATTAAAGCTGAGAAAATTGTTTGAATACTAGTTTATTTTTAAATATTTTATGAAAAGTAACCACTTTCCTCTCCCCTGTATTTTTTAATGAGAAGAGTGGCATTGTTAACACATTTTTGCAGATTTTTTAAAAGTCTGCCTTAATAGCAAGATTCTAGCAGTTGCTTTGGCATTCAGTCTGTTACGGTGTTATAAAGAAAATCTGGGCTCATATGTATTTGGAAAGAGTATTTTAATAACATTTTCAGATAATAGAGGTTCTTTGATATTACACCAAAACTTGACAGTTGATGGTTTCTTAAAGTATAGTTGCAGTGTGAAATTGAAACCACACAAAACAAGCTTGTTCAATCTGTGGCCAAACACAAATTCATAAACTTTCTTAAAACATTGTATTTTTGTTTTTGTTTTAGCTCATCGCTGTTGTTAGTATTAGTGTATTTTATATGTGGCCTAAGACAATTCTTCTTCCAGTGTGGCCCAGGGAAGCCAAAAGATTGGACACCTCTGATATAAAAGTTTTTGTCCTGTTACATTAAAATTCATTGGCCTTTCTCTTTGAATGTATCTTTTGTTCATGAGTAATTTCTTACTATTTCTTACTAAGCAACCAACATTGGTTACTTAGAAAATACTGATTCACTCTCTTATGATGATATTTCAAATATTGATATAGTATCAACTAATCACATTTCATTAATATCACCATGAATCTTATCAGAAACTGAGAATATTGAAAATGCTTGTCAAGGTTTTTTTTTCACTTGACTTGTCCTTGATAACAAATACTGTTAGATGTTTGAAGTGATGGGGGCACTTTGTTCATTTTCAGAATGTCTACTGAATACTCAGGTCTTAATAACCAGTTTATTAGTCATTCTTTCAGATAAAAAACATGTTCCATGACAAACGCAATTCAGTCAGCTCACAACTCAAACAATTGTACAGTGCTTTTTCTTTCCGTCGTCATACTTCTTGACTCAACAGGAGTGTTTCGTGCATGCTTCCCATTTGTCATGCAAAATGTTAACAAGATGTGTATTCAGGGTTGAGATTTAGCAAAGTTAATAATTTTTACTGTGAGAGCGTGGTGATGAAGAATATGACTACTAGTGCAGTTGGGTGCCATTGCTTTGATTTGGCTCTTTGATAAGGCTTCAGCTCTTTTTTATTTCCCACAGCTGCTTTGGCAGCATTTGTGCTCATGTCCATATGGTGAAAAAGGCAAATAACTCACTAATAGTATTCTGAAAACAATTTTGACCTCTATAGGGGTACATGAACCATACTTTGAGAATCATTGACGTATTAATAAGTGATGGAGCTGGGGTTCAATCCAGGTATTGAATTGAATATACATTTCATATATATATATATATATGTATCTCCCAGCTCCATCACTTATTAATTAGCTACATTACCTTGAACAATTACCCTGGTAGCAAAACCACATAAACATAAAAGAACACTGCAGATCAGTATTCTTCACAAAATAGGCAAAAAAGGGGGAAAAAAAAACCCCAAAATATTTGACGTTAGCTTTTCTATACTGTCATTGTTATTTTTTATTTTGGGGGGAGAGAGAGAGAGAGGGAGGGAGAGAGAGAGAGAGAGAGTGTGTGTGTGTGTATGTGTGTGTGTGTGTACACACTTTTAACAGGGCTGTAGAGGAAAGAGGGTTCTGAAGTAGCATTTATTAAAATGGAATAAGAAAGATGCTTGCCAAAATCCCAAATTGTATTCATAGGCTAGAGGTCTAAATATCCTCAACAGTTTTAGGACTTTTTTTTTTTTTTTTTTTCCCCAACAGCAAATGCTAAGCCTGCTGCCTTGTTCTGTAGTTCAGTCAAGTGCATTATTGCTGTTGGTTTTGAAATATGTATAAATCTTCACTACCCCTCAACAGTTTTCAGATAATGTAGGGGAAGTGAAATGTAGTTGGTAACAGTAAACTGAATGCTTTCCTTGGGTATTTACCAGTTCAGGGAAATTCAGTGGTAAAACATTTTCCTTCTTTGGTTAGTCTCATTGTTCATGATCTTTGAAAACAGACTCATCTGTAATGAGTCTATTTACATGTACACCCATTTTGGAGTAACCTTCACTTAGGAGATTGTTGTTTTTTAATAAGAAAGAGGGCCCATTAGTACCTTCTGTCATGTTATTCATGCCAAAGAACCAGTTGCTTTTTGGGAGAAAGGGCACATGGGGTTCTCCATCTGCTGTAATTGATTATTGCTTTCATGTGCTTCCCAAACAGTTCCTTCATTCTCAGCATCACTTGCCTGTCTGACTAATGCTTCTGTCCTGTTAATTTTTAATATTTGTTTTTTTAGTTTTAACTACTTAAAAAAAATAAAAATTTCCACCAATTAGGCAAGTAATATCTTCATTTTAGAGAATTTTAAAAGTTAAGGTACAAATCAGGGAAAAGCACTAGCTTCATCATCTTGGGGTATGTTCATTACTGTCCTTTTTGATGATTAATGGGTGCTCCTTTTTTCCTAATTGGCAACATATTGTATACACATTTCATATTGTGCCTTTTCATTTATTATCAGTATTTCCCTCCATCAAAAAGTATTCTAAAACATTTTTAATGACTGAATAACTTTTGTCATTAATATGTATCATGCTTTAAAAAAAAAAAAACTATATACATTCTCCTAATGTTGTTTTCAGTTTATCAAAATTATAAATATGCTGTGAAGCATATCTCTTATATTTTATTATTATTTTTTTTTTCTGATTATACTCTGGTCATTCTGTTGAAGACCCTTAAAGGAGAATGACTGGTTCAGATAGCAATATTTGTTTTTTCACAAGGTTCTTGAAGTGAATTGCTAACTTGCTTTCCAAAAAGATTGAACCAATTTATTATCATTTTATAAGCATTCAGCTCAGTTCTCCATATCTTCACCAGAACTGATACTATGTTAAATGCTTTTAAAACAGAATAAATAACACACATTAGCACACAAACTTCCAGCAAAGGTTTAAATGCTTAGAAATTAAATAGTATAACATACATCAAAACTTACAGTATATATTTCTTATTACTAGGAGAGTCCCAACTGAACTAGACTTAATGAGTTGTCCTTAACCTTCTAGAGGTATAGTCTTCAAAACAGATTTCTTTCTCTAGGAGTTCTTTATACTTTCTGAGCCTGTACAGACCTGCTTATGTAGAGTGGGTTGGAGAGGAAAGTTCAATGTGTGTTCTTTGGTTTTTATATTTTTCTTCCGTTAGCCCTATGTCTTGGGACAGTTATATAGAGTAGTTTGGTATATGTGGATTTTTTTTCTTTATCACATAAAGCAGATTTGGATAATATGTGATTGGAAGTTATGTGTCTGAGTTCTTTGCTAATTCTATATAAATTTCAGGTGTGCAACGGAGGAACATGGCTCAAGAAACTAATCACAGCCAAGTGCCTATGCTTTGTTCCACTGGCTGCGGATTTTATGGAAACCCTCGTACAAATGGCATGTGTTCAGTATGCTATAAAGAACATCTTCAAAGACAGAATAGTAGTAATGGTAGAATAAGCCCACCTGGTAAGTAATTCTGGTAAAACTCATCTGTATTCAAAATTGAAGTACACGTACCCAATACCCTGTTCTGCTCTCACATTGTACTTATATTACTATATTCATATCAGTAAAATGTCTCATTACACGTTGTGATTATCAGTAGTGAGGAGTTAAGAGTGAGTATTGTCACTCATTGAAAATACTGTAAATTCATATCATAATCTCATTTGCTGTGGCTGTGGAACTCTATTACCTTATTAAAATAGAGGGGACATCTCAAGTATATATAACTGTCTTGGAAAGTAAGATAAGGGAGTGATGAAAGGACTTTTGTTCTTTTATCTGGTATGACTTTTACAGCTTAAGTAGTTGTTGAAGGAAAGGGTGGGTTATTGATAAGCCCACCTCAGTGGACTTTAGAGGAAGCTTTACTCCAGTAGGAAGGAAGGGTATAGCGGATTAACTCATAGTAAGGAATGTTCAACCCCAGTTCGCTAGGGTTTTTTATGCCTTTTTGTGTCAAAGGATATTCTGGGAATTGAGGTGGTCTTTTGTTTCAGTAGTTGTGTAAGAAGGATCATGAGGATTCTGAGTATAAGCTTTGCAAAAGGAAAGGGTTTAATATGTTCATTTAGGATAGTTCTCATGTGGGATAATGCCTGCATGTATAGATTTTTGTGGTTAATGGAAGTGCAGGCTATTACTTAGTTCATTTAATATTGTGTATGAGATCTTGTCTGTTTCTGTTCAAGCCAAAACCTACAACCATTTAACCAAAACTTCAGATTTTCTTAAGGCTAAGATCAAATGAGTATAAATTGTTTTAAATTAAATCATCATCTACATTTATAACCTAATGTTCCTGAGCATAGATTTTAATTCTGAACCTATATTTTTAATTGCTATATCATCTTATTTAAATATCTCATTGGTACTCTAGTACTTGGATGATATTCAGTCCTAAGAAGTAGGAGTTCAGTTTATTAATTTATACAATTTGTATATGGTTTAAAATAAACGTATTTTTAATTGGTAAACCGTTGAAAATTTTTTAGCTAAAATAATGAACCAGCGTATTACATATTAAAATAAAATCTCTATACTATATTCTGTGGAAAATGGATTTTTTTTTTTTTTTTAGATAAGGTCTTAGCATATAGAATCACTAATATGGAATGTGATACTGTTACAGCAACCTCTGTCAGTAGTCTGTCTGAATCTTTACCAGTTCAATGCACAGATGGCAGTGTCCCAGAAGTCCAGTCATCATTAGACTCTACATCTTCATCTATGCAGCCAAGGTAAGATGTAGTCTCGAATTATAATGGGAATGCTAGTGAAAACTAAAGAGTACATTCTGTTTTTGATTAACTCTAATAAGGAAAACTAAGTAAAGCTACTTTAAGATTAACTGGCCTAAAATTTTATCTATCTGATTATAACTAGTTAGAAAAAGCGATTTCTTGCTTTTACATTGGGGGTTTGGGGGTTATCGTTTAAGTCTTAGATTTATTTTTCAGGCGTCTTTTCCTTCTTTCTCATAATATATCCTGACCTACTCCTGAAGTCCTTTGGAAGCATGTTAAGTGAAATGTTAGGTCTTATTCTGCAAGTATTACTTAACTACCTTGCATTTAAAAAGTACAGCCTTGTCACATGCTATCTTTAATATCATGATGTAGTACTCATATTTGTTTGTATTGTAATATGTATATATATGTTTTTAAACTCTGAAGTCACATCATTTAGAAGCCTGCATACAGCAATACATGTTTGGTCTTTATTCTGCTGTTAGGAACGAGTGTATTAAATTCCTACGCTGTGGTTTCTTTTTTGCAATTCATGATAAGAGATGTCCAGTTTTGCTATGCTAGAATATCATTGACAGCTTTGCCTTAGGGTTCTTTAGGCATGTCTTTATCATGCTAGTTTTCATTTAGTGAATTCATGTGCTGCTTGAAATTCACAAAGGGCATATGCACTATTGCTTTGTTTCCAAGACAGGAAGATTCTGGTCCACATTGATCTCTAGTTTTAAAGCTCTATGATTATGTTTAAGTTATTTTAAAAAGTATCTCTGTATTCTTGTCTTAATGATATACTTAGATATGTTGAACTCTTACTATGTCACATTAGTTAATATTCATGTGTGGAGATCACCTTTTAAGATGAAATATTTTGCTTTTCTAGCCCTGTATCAAATCAGTCACTTTTATCAGAGTCTGTAGCTTCTTCTCAGTTGGACAGTACATCTGTGGACAAAGCAGTACCGGAAACAGAAGATCTGCAGGGTTTGTATATGAACTAGCATGTATTTTGTTATTTGAGTATTTTGGCCAGACACTATCCCAGGTGCATGTATAAAATATTACCAGGTTAAAACACGTGTTTTTCTACTGAACACAATACTTTATGTCCTTAAGTATTTAATTAACATGTTGGGGAGCCGTTTCACACTTATATAGAATTTTATCAGCATAAACATTGCAAATTCAAAATTTATTTAGTTTGAAAAATACAATCAAATGAAAGTGTGGCACATTATACTGTGCCACACTTTTATTTTATTATTTTGGCTGGTTCGGTCTAAATACTACTCTCTAAGAAAACTGGGACTGCTGGTTTGAGGGGAATCTGTTTCTTTCATTTTTTGACTCATTATCTGAAAGACTGTATACGTCTTGGCTGGCACTTCTCCCCTTCTTCCCTATGTATGCAATAGCCACATGTTCTTGTCCATGCTCTCGTATTTCTATTATGCAGCTCAGAGTGATCTAGGAAGACTTGAAAATTTGTATGAAGGCGTTTGTAGTAGGCAGAGAGAACAGAGTAGGCCATTTTGCAGGCTGCTAAATAACCTCTGCTTAATTAGTTGTATTCTATCAGTGTGTGGAAATAACATGATAACCACAGAAAGATCTCTGGAAAGATAAGCCTAATGAAGAGCAGCGTGTCATTCTGCCTGTGGGATGATTTACCAGTGAAATTCACTGTGCCTGGTGTTAACACGATAGTAATAGATACGTCTGGCAATCCTAGTTTAAGTTTGCTAAATTTTTAATTTAGACCAGGCACAGTGGCTTATGCCTATGATCCTAGCCACTTGAGAGGCTGAGGCAGGAGTATCGCTTGAGTCTGGGAGTTTGAGACTAGCCTGGACAACATAAAATTAGCCGGGTAAGGTGGCACATACCTGTAGTCACAACTATTCAGGAAGCTGAGGTGGGAGGATTGCTTGAGCCCAGGAATTCCAGGCTGCAGTGAGCCATGATTGTGCCACTGCTCTCCAACCTGGGTGGGCACCAGAGCAAATCCCTCACACCCGATCTCAAGAATTAAAATAAGTAAGTTTAAATAAGCTAGGTAATTCCTCTTGCTTTTATTTCATACCCAGCAAATACTTGACCCAGTTTGCTTGTTTGTGTAGATTTTGTATAACAAAAGAATATATTATGTGGTCAACATAAATATTCTAGTCTATCTAGCATATTGTTATAAATTCATAAATGTTTTAAGCGAATAATTTTTATTTTTTAGTTAAAAAATTTAAGGAAGGGCAGAAATGAGGAATGTTTTTAAAGAAATAAGGAAAAGACTGGGCATGGTAGCTCATGCCTGTAATCCGAGCACTTTGGGAGGCTGAGGTGGGTGGATTGCCTGAGCTCAGGAGTTCAAGACCAACTTGGGCAATGTGACGAAACCCCATCTCTACAAAAAATACCAAAAATGAGCTGGTTGTGGTGGCACACCCCTGTAGTCCCAGCTTATCGGAAGGCTGAGGCATGAGAATTGCTTGAACTGGGAGGTGGAGGTTACAGTGAACCAAGATTGAATTGCTTCCTTTTGCATAACTAGAATTTGATAAGGTATTCTTTGGTGTTAAAGCTCACATAAAAACTGAGGAAACAGGATTATTTCTGGGAATCGTAGACTTTTAAAAATAGTGCTATATCATCTTATCTGTGAATTCATTTGGTGACTTTAAATTCAGGCTGTCAGCTGTTAGTTTCAGGTAAGCTGATACATTAACCTCGTGGGTATATAATTGACATTTATCGGTCCCACTTTTGAGCTGTAACGTATAAGCTTTTAGATACCCTACTGATCCTTCACTTTGAAGACTGCATTTGCCTCAGTTAAAAAGAAAACATTCGCCTTCTTCAGGGCTTTAGGGCTGATATTGTGAAATGTCTGCAGTAGCATTTGTATGCATAGACGATAAATATAATTTTACTCTTCTCCATTTCCAGATCCCATTTAAAGTTTGTGCCTCAGGAGTTAAACCAGTTTTGTTAAAAACTATAATCTTGTGATAGTGTTACTGCCATTAAAGCATTATCTATATGAATTTTTAAAAAATATCAGACTGTTTTGGAGAACAGGTTAGATATTACAGCTTAGAGATTTCAAAACCAGTAAATACAATAGGTTCATTTCTGATTGCAGGTTACGGTGTTTTTGAGTCTATGTGTATAGCTAGACAGGCTTATCTGATACTGTTTAGGAGCTGGGGATAAACAGTAAATAAGACGTTCAGCCAAGCCCTCTTGGAGCTTACACTCTAGGGATATTTATTCATTGAAAATAAAAGGTGTGATGTATCTATATTCTGTTTCAAAAATAATATGTTCATAGTATATTACTAGACCTGTCTCCTGTCTAGTTTCAGCATGTAGGTGGAGTAACATGCTATAGAGTTTGTCATTAGCACATACTTACTTGTTTGTGGTATTTTGCTTTTTATCATCTTTTGTTGAAATATGAGATAATGGTGTTAACATAAGCAGGTTAGAGTCAATCACAGCAAATGTCTGAGCATGTATTAGGATGTGTAGTTCACTGTGATGGGACTGGAGGTTCAAATGGGGAATAAGGTAACCATCCCTCTTCAGTGAGCTTACAGTGTTGTTGGGGAAATGAGGCACATAAATAGGTAAGTAATTCAGTTCAACAGATGCTAACTGTTGAGTGCCTGCTATGTGGTTGGAGACACTGGGATAGGCACTGGTAATGGGACAAATAGGACAGATGTCTGTCCTCAGAGAATTCGCAGTTAAACCAGGTTAAGTCAGTGAGGGAATTTTAATATGAAAAGTGCTATACATAGTAGGGTTTCCCACCCCAAGGTTGTAGGAGAGGCAGTGGAGGAAGAGCTGATTATAAAACCTTAAACAAGAAAAACAAATTAGAGTTAGCCTGGTAAAAAGAGAGACGAGGGACATAGAAAGAGTATTTTATATGGAAAGGACAACTTGTACAATAGCGCAGAGGCAAAAGAGAGTTTGATATGTCCAGGGAAACTGCAGGTACTTCAATATGGCTGAATCATGGAGTACTGTTGAGGAGTAGTGAGAGATGAGGCTAGAGAAAGAAGGATGAAGAAAATCATGAAGGACCTCTGGGCTTTATCCTGGGGGTTAGGTGGGAGTCATTGGGGAATTCTAAACATCAGAGCGAACACCATTAGATTTTCACTTAAGGCAGATGATTGGATGCAATGTGTGAAGCATGGATTGAAGAGGGAACTCATGTGAGGTGCCCAGTATTTGGAAAAGATGTTAAGGAAAATCAGAGTGATAAGCTAAAGACAATTGAGACAAGGAAGAAGGTATTTGACCTTGGTCTTGAAAAAGAAGAGGACCTAGATCAAATAGGGAAAAAAGGAAACCTTTTTGAATAGATTATAAGAAGTGTGTAAAATGCAATAAAGTATATTTTTTAAAAAAAAAAGTGTGAGCAAAGGTACATGGCATATTTGCAGTGTAGATTAATGGAGCAGTGGATTCCTGGAGAAGGTCTAGTTGGTGATAAAACTGGAGAGGTTAAGAATTTATCCATGGCAAATTCCACCATTTTAGAGCAAGATGTCATGTTTGCAAGGTCATATTATAGATTCTGACTCTGGGGATAGCATTCTGGAGGGCCAGGGTGCAACAAGAGGGAGGCATGTTAAGATTTCAGAGTAGTAATTTAACCTGAATCTTGGCAAATCTGGCTTTGGTTTCCATATATAAATGCATCAATTTATTATGTTAATTATAACATGTTAAAGCTTCTTTGCTTCAATTTGCCTTATTTCTAACATTTAAAGCGCTTTTATGTGAAACATTCTGGGAACTTGAAACTTAACTTTAAATTCCACAGAATCATGGTTTCACCTTTCCCCTACTTGTTCTCTGAGAAACCTATGTCATTCTGACCCCAAGCAATATCAAGAAGTATGCATATGGCAATTTTCTTGCACACTCCCTTAGAATATTCAACTAGTATTTGTTTATGTGCCTTTTATTGAGCAAATACATAGTAATTAGAAAAATCAGAAAATACAGTTTAAACCAAAAGAAGAAAGTCTATAAAATCACTGTTAACATATCATTACATATTCTAGATTATTTTCTACATGTGTATATACATACATTTAACAAAAAGAGGTCATATTTGTAAACAACTCTGTAATTTAATAAGACTAGCTTTCTATACTAATAAACAAATTCCTCTGTATCCTCTGAATAATAGATTAGGGAGGGTGGGATGAGGAATAGCAAAATCTTATTGAATAATTAAATTTTGCCACCTTCCTTTTTTTGTCAGCTTCAGTATCAGACACGGCACAGCAGCCATCTGAAGAGCAAAGCAAGTCTCTTGAAAAACCAAAACAAAAAAAGAATCGCTGTTTCATGTGCAGGAAGAAAGTGGGACTTACTGGTAAGGACCTGGATAAAATGTTTAAAATTAAGATGATGTGGCCGGGTGCAGTGTCTCATGCCTGTAATCCCAGCACCTTGGAAGGCCAAGGTGAATTGATCATGAGGTCAGACGTTCGAGACCATCTTGACCAACATAGTGAAACCCCATTTCTACTAAAAAGACAAAAATTAGCTGGCGTGGTAGTGGGCCCCTATAGTCCCAGCTACTCAGGAGGCTGAGGCAGGAGAATTGCTTGAACCTGGGAGGCGGAAATTGCAGTGAGCTGAGATCGTGCCACTGCACTCCAGCCCAGGTGACGGTGCGAGACTCTGTCTCAAAAAAATTAAGATGATGTTTTATAATAATACATAGTTTACTATTATTGACTTCAATTGAGATTGTTCCTGTTCCCTTGAGAGTTAATATTGGATATACTTCAGCTTCTGAATTTTAAGGAAATAAAAAAAACCTTGATTATGTGCCTACAAGTGAAATGAATAGCTTTAAAAAGAATTCATTGCAGCTGAATTTAGTAGTAGTAGACAAGTAAGGTTGGTGTGCCAGATGCTGTGAAAGGTCAAAGATGTGACTCCTGCTTTCAAGGAGAGAATATTTTGAAGTACTTGGTTAGCTGTGTATGTATAAAATACATGTATATTAGCCCTATGTATAAAATAGGGCTAATCATATGTTGTTGTGTGGGTTCAGTGAGTTAAGACATGTAAGCAGTTATCCCAGTGCTGCCCCACAATAAGTAATCAATATATGTTGGCTACTGTAACATAGCTATCAGATGCAGATGGTGGTGGGAGGGAGAAAGAAATGTTCAAAAGCATTTAGCAAAGAAAGTACATTAAGTGCAGTCAGATTGCTCTGGAAATTCAGAGATAAGAGCAACTAATTTACATTTAAAAATGGTAGTTCTTAGAGGCCCAGCAAGGAAAGGTTCGTGACGGCAGAATGTTTCAGTGCTTCTAGAATAGTGAGTAGGACCTATAACTGATGGAAATAGAGGCAATTCAGACAGAAAGGATAACTTGAAAAAAATGCATAGGGCATGTGCAGGGACCATGAATAGGGGAATGTGGCTGTGTAACACGTAATATGTGAACAAGAGTGTTGCATACTGCAAGTACTGCAATCCAACAGAAATAAAGAAATAAGACTAAAAACAGACAGTTGACCCTTGAACAACATGGGACTGTGTGGGCCCACTTAAGAGTTTTTTCTAATATATTGGAAAAGTTTTTGGAGACTTGCTGCAATTGGAAAAAACTCACAGATGAACTGTTTAGCCTAGAAATATATATTTTTTAATTAAGGAAAGTTAGGCATGTCTTGAATGTGTAAAATATGTGTAGATACTAGTGTATTGTATCATTTATTACCATAGAATATGCACAAATCTATTACAAAAAATTTAAATTTTATCAAAACTTGTCTACAATTGCAGATCATACATAAAGCCATTTATAGTCGAGAAATGTAAACAAATGTAAAGATGTAGATTAAGTGATAGTGGCATAAAAGTTACTATAATATGTACTGTACTTCTCTAATAATTTCATGGCCACCTTCTATTGCTATTGCAGTGAGTTCAGGTACTGCAGGTATCCACTTAAAATGCTGTGAGGCACTGATCACCTCTGTGTCAGCCGTTTGTCTCTGTAGTAAATTGCCTACCACAGTAAAAGGTAATCTCTTGTGGTTCTCATGTATTTTTCATCGTGTTTAATGCAATACTATAAACTTTGAATAATACCATAAGACTCATACAGAGTGCCACTAGTGGTACTGGAAGTGCTCCCAAGAAGCAGAGAAAAGTCACAACATTACAAGAAAAAGTTGAATTGCTTGGTACGTTCCATAGATTAAAGCCTGCAGCTGCAATTCTGCCATTTCAAGAAAAATGAACAATGTCTGCCATTTCAAGATAAATGAATTCAGTGTAAGGACTTTTTTTTTTTTTAAGAAAAGAAAAGAAAATGTGTGAAGCCGCCTCTGCAGCTATGCCAGCAGGCACAGAAACTTTGTACTTTTTTATGAAATACCTTTTTATTTTGTGTTGACAATGCAGCTTTTATGTGGGTGCAGGATTGCTATAAAGAAAGGCATACCTATAGATTATAATACAATTCAAGAAAAAGTAAAGTTATTATATGACAACTTTTAGATTCTAAAGACTTTAATACCAACAAAAGATGGTTTGATTTTTTTTCTTTTTTTAATTGAAATGGAGTCTTGCTCTGTCACCCAGGCTGGAGTGCAGTGGCATTATCTTGGCTCACTGCATCCTCCGCCTCCTGGGTTCAAGGGATACTCCTGCCTCAGCCTCCTGAGATGCTGGGATTACAGGCACATGCCACCATGCCAGGCTAATTTTTGTATTTTTTTTTTTTTTAAGTAGACACATGGTTTCACCATGTTGGCCAGGTTGGTCTCAAACTCCTGACCTCGGGTGATCTGCCCACCTCAGCCTCGCAAGGTGTTGGGATTATAGGCGTGAGCCACTGTGCCTGGCCACTTTGGTGATTTTAGAAAAAGGTTTGGCTTATAAAAAGTGAAGATAATGGGAGAAACAGCTTCTGCCAACAAAGAGGAAGCAGGTAAGTTCCGAAACTACGTTAAGAAAGTCGTTGGAGAAAGAGTATCTGCCTGAGTAAATTTTTAATGCAGACAAAAGTGCCTATTCTGGAAAAAAAAGAAATGACAAAGACATTTAGAAATAGGGAAGAAAAGTGAATACTACAACTTAAGGCAGGAAGAGAGAGTCTAATTTTACAGTTTTGTGCAAATGCAGTTGGGTTTACGATCAGGACTGCCCTTATCTATAAAGTTGCTAACCCCCGAGTCTTGAAGGGAAAAAGATAAACACCAGCTGCCAGTCTTTTGGTTGTACAAGAAGAACACCTAAGACAACATGAACCCTTTTTCATGGTTCGTTACATTAGTGCTCTGTCCCTGAAATCAGAAAGTACCTTGCCAGTAAGGGAATGCCTTTTAAAGTTGTTGTTTTTAAGGTGGAGTTTCATTTTTGTTGCCCACGCTGGAGTGCATTGGTGCAATTTCTGTTCACTGCAACCTCCTCCTCCCAGATTCAAGTGATTCTCCTGCCTCGGCCTCACTAGTAGCTGGGATTACAGGCGTACTCCACCATGCCTGGTAAATTTTTTATATCTTTAGTAGAGACAGGGTTTCACCATGTTGGCCAAGCTGGTCTCAAACTCCTAATCTCAAGTGATGTGCCCACCTTGGCCTCCCAAAGTTCTGGGATTATTACAGGCCTGAGCCACAGTGCCCAGCCTAAAGTTATTTTGATATTGAACAATTCCCTGGCCACCCAGAACCTCATAAGTTCAGCACTGAAGGCATCGAAGTGATATGCTTGCCGCCAGACAGGCATCTCTAATTCAGCCTCTAGGTCAGGGGTCACAAAGACCTTTCAGGCTCATTGCTTACGGTACTCTATGGAAAATATTGTCAGTGCTATGGAAGAGAACCCCAATAGAGAGAACATCATACCACTGAAGATACCATTATCGTTTAGACAAAGATATGAAAACGATCAAGCCCAAAACAGTACATTCCTATGGGAGAAAACTGTGTCTATGTATTGTGTATGACTTCACAGGATGGAAATCATGGTAGAGATTGTGGATATGGCAAGAAAGGTGGGGGATTAAGAATTTCAAGATAGGGCTCTTGAAGACATTCAGGAGCGAATAGACACCAAACCAGAGGAATTAACAGAAGATGACTTGATGGAGATGACGGCTATCAAACCAGTGCCAGGCAGTGAGGAAGAAGACCTAGAAGAAGCAGTGCCAGAAAACAAATTGACGGTAGACTGTCTGACAAAAGGGGTCTGAGTATTCAAGACTGCTTTTCACTTTGGCAACATGGACTCTTCGCTAATCAGAGAGAACTAAAACTGAAGCAAGTGGGGGAAGAAGGATTGGTACCGTAGGGAAACATTTTTAGAAAAACAAAAAAGCAGAAAAGTCAGAAATTACATTGTATTTCCACAAAGTTACACCAAGTATGTCCACCTCTCCAGCCTCCCCTTTTACTTTCTCCACCTCTGCTAACCCTGAGACAGCAAGACCAGCTCCTCCTATTCCTCTGCCTGAAGACAAGGATGAAGACCTTTATGATGATCGACTTTCACTTATATATTTTCTCTTCCTTGTGATTTTCTTAGTAACATTTTCTTTTCTGTAGCTTAAGAGTACATTATATATTAATACATACAACATAAAAACATCTAACACAAAATATGTATTCGTTGACTGTTACCAGTAAAGCTTCTGGTTAATAGGCTGTTAATAGCTCACGTTTTGGGGGAACAAAAAGTTATACTTGGATTTTTGACTTGTTAGAGGGATCTGCATGCCTAAACCCAGCATTCTTCAAGGGTCACCTGTACTGAGGTTAGTTAGAAAGTAGTTGCAGCTACAGATGTAATTTATTGTTTACCATGTGCCAGGCATTGTGCTGAATACTTCTCATAAAAATCGGACTTACAGGGAAGAGTAAATAATAAGATTTTGAGCAAAGGTATGCTTTAGATAGATTATTCCTGGTAAAGGAATGGGTTGGAGATGAAAGAGAAAGGAAGTGAGAGTTTAATATCACAGATGCTTCAAGGCCGGGCATGGTGGGTGGCTCATGCCTGAAATCCCAGCACTTTGGGAGGCCAAGGTGGGAAGATTGCTTCAGGTCAGGAATTTGAGACCAGCCTGGGCAACATAATGAGACCTCCTCTTTAAAAGAGAAAATTTAAAAAGATGTTTCAGATTTGCCCATACCTTAGCACATGTATATTTAAAGAATATAAACATGGCCCAGTACGGTGGCTCACACCTGTATTCCCAACGCTTTGAAAAGCCAAGGTGGGAGGATCACCTGAGGCCAGGAGTTTAAAACCAGCCTGGACTACATAGTGAGAGTCAGTTTCTACAAAAAAAATTTTTTAATTAGCTGGGCATGATGGCATGTGCCTGTAGTCCCAGCTACTCAGAAGGCTGAGGTGGGAGGATTGCTTGAGCCCAGGAGGTTGAGGCTGCAGTGAGCTGTGATTGTGTCACTGCATACCAGCCTGGATGACAGAGTGAGACTCAGATATTAGACATTAAATATACATATTTAATATTAAAGATAAACTATCTAAATCTCACAAACCCTCAAACTTTATGATTAGAAGGCTGAGATTTAGTAATTTTCATTCTGTCCCATCTCTCAGTCTGATACAGTGTTGTTTGCTTCATGTTTCATTCATTATTATGAAGTTACAAATATGTTTTTGAAGTCAAAACTGTGGCAAAGGAAGTTAACATCAAATATTAAAGTTTAAAATACTGATTCCTATGCTCCATTTCCAACAATTGTATCATACGAAAAAGTTCTAATTTGGAGGAGCAGGACCAGTTTTACATAAAGACTGTCTGCACCCATTACATCTCAATTTTGGCTTTAACCCTGGGCATTTCCTTAAAATTAAGTAGCGTTTATTGTGTTTTTTACCATATGTTCAGCAATAAATTAATTCCTCATTTAATCCTTATATGATTATTCCAAAATTACAGATGCAGAAATGAGGCTAATTTGCCTTCATTAGTAAGTAGAGCCACACTGAGGCAGTGGAACTCTAAATCCCATGCTCTTTACCTCTCAGCTGCAGTACAGTTCACGTCTCCACTGGAGGTTAGCAGAGAAAAGCAAATATTAAAGCTGTGTTCTTTGTTAACAGTTCTTTCAGAGGTATTATTTGATCTTTCTTAAATAAATGCTACAACTGCTTTCTGACAGTAGGCTTATTTTCACATTTTAGTGTTTGGATTTGAAAAATGTTCTACGTTTTCAATCTAGCAACTGTGTTTTTTGATAAAAAGTAATTGTGGCCATATTACAGGTGAAGAAACAAATTCAGAGAAGACTTGCTCTAGTGCAAACCTACCTTTGTAGGTAGGAACAAGAAATGAAGCTGTCAGATAGTGAATAAGAATGTCATTTGTGAGACTGTGTATTTGGAATGATTCTTTAGTTTACATTGCTGCCCTAAATATATTGTGCTGTTCAGTATTAATTATTATGCCAAAGACCTTAATAGTTCATCTTCAATGCAACTCATGTATGCACATTACTCCATTTTCAGGGTTTGAATGCCGGTGTGGAAATGTTTACTGTGGTGTACACCGTTACTCAGATGTACACAATTGCTCTTACAATTACAAAGCTGATGCTGCTGAGAAAATCAGAAAAGAAAATCCAGTAGTTGTTGGTGAAAAGATCCAGAAGATTTGAACTCCTGCTGGAATACAAAATCCTTTGAGCATCTGCAAACTAAAAGTTGACTTGAGGTTTTTTTTCCTAGGCATTGGGAATGTAGAGCAGTGTGTCTTGCATAGACCTTTTAATCATGCATGTCATCGAAAGAATAGATTTTTGTTTTTGTTTTGAAAATGACTCTGAACATTTATTTCCATTGCAATTTCTGTGGCTGAGAAGACTTAAACTTTACAAGTATTATCCTTTTAAGATCATTTTAATTTTAGTTGAGTGCAGAGGGCTTTTATAACAAACGTGCAGAAATTTTGGAGGGCTGTGATTTTTCCAGTATTAAACATGCATGCATTAATCTTGCAGTTTATTTTCTCATTGTGTATGTATATATCGCTTTTCTCTGCAGCACGATTTCTCTTTTGATAATGCCCTTTAGGGCACAACTAGTTATCGGTAACTGAATGTATCTTAATCATTATGGCTGCTTCTGTTTTTTCATTAACAAAGGTTATTCATATGTTAGCATAAGTTTCTTTGCACCCACTATTTATGTCTGAATCATTTGTCACAAGAGAATGTGTGCCGATGAGATTCTAAGTTTGTGTGTTTAAACTTTTTTTTTGAGCGAGGGAAGAAAAAGCTGTATGCATTTCATTGCTGTCTACAGGTTTCTTTCAGATTACGTTCATGGGTTTGTGTGTATACAATATGAAGAATGATCTGAAGTAATTGTGCTGTATTTATGTTTATCCACCAGTCTTTGATTAAATAAAAAGGAAACCGGAATGCTGTCTTGTATTACTTTTTCTCTTCTTTCTGGTAGTTAATTTTATTTTTTGGTTAAGGTTTTCTACTTTCCAAATTTTGTAAAAGAACTATCATTATTTGTCTCACATCTGCTTGTGACTAAGCTTATCGTCATAACTGTAATTTTGTTTTCCTCTTGAGTTGACGACCTGAGCACATCTTTAAAGGCAAGCACTCCTCTCCGTTACTTAAATGTATTTTCTAGTCCTTGTCTGATTCTCTTTTCTGGACTCGCATACCCAATTAACATCTAATATAAGCTTCCTTTTTTTAAGCGGATCACCTGAGGTCGGGAGTTCAAGACCAGCCTGACCAACATGGTGAAACCCCGAGAAGCTTCTTTTTCTTGTAGGCTTAGAGAAATTTTAAGAGTACGATTCAAACTGCAGAGCAGTTGTAGAATTGCGGAGTAGAACGACCCCCGAGATGATTTGTCCTATGGTTTTCAAATGTGTCTGGTAACCAAACTTTTTTAAAACATTAAATATTATATAAAACAGATGAAGGCAGTAATTTTCCAATGTAAGTTTCTCAGTTTAAAATTGTTTATGTACATGTTCTATTTAAATAAAGGATGATTTAACATCAAAATCTGTGAATTGATCACATTAACAGATGAAAAAGAATAAACTGTTAAACTAAATAGATTCAGATAAAGTAATGGAATTTAACTACCCATTCATAAGAAAAATTAAAAGTAACGATAAATTAAGACTAGAAAGAAATTTCCTTAAGCTGATAGTTCTTTGTGAAATCAATGAGCCAAACAAACACAAAACCAAACATCAACCAAAAAGAGGAAACTTACTTCCCTTTAAAGTCTGAAACAGGGCAGGCATGGTGGTTCACACCTGTAATCCCAGCACTTTGAGAGGGTGAGGCAGGTGGATCACGAGATCAAGAGGTCAAGGCCATCCTGGCCAACATGGTGAAACCCTGTCTCTACTAAAAATACAAAAATTAGCTGGGCATGGTGGCACATGCCTGTAGTCCTAGCTACGAGGGAGGCTGCGGCAGTAGAATCGCTTGAACCCAGGAGGTGGAGATTGCAGTGAGCTGAGATTGTGCCACTGAACTCCAGCCTGGCAACAGAGCAAGGCTCTGTCTCAAAAAAAAAAAAAAAGATGACTGCCCACTAATGCTGCTTACTATTCAAAATTGTGTTGTAGATTATGGCCAGTGGAGCAAGACGACAGAAAAATGGTAAGAAAAGAGGTAGCACTCATTATTTGCACATTGTTTTTATAGAAACATCATAAACTTGCTAAAAAACAGGGTTTAGTTAGGTAGCTATAGTATTAGGTTTTAGAAGAGAGTTGGCATTTCCTTACACCAGTTGCCTAGAAAACATCGACTGACAATAATATCAGAATATTGATTACCCAGGAAATTGACAGTACATGTTGATGGCCTCGTCGAGAAAGAATTCTAAAACATGAAGGGATAGTAAGACCCCAGTAAATAGATGTTCGTGGATAGGAAAACAGTATCATTAAAAATGTCTTTTGTCCTTCAATAGACATAGATTCAAAGTAATCCCAATCAGAATTCCACTAGGCTTTTTTTCGTGGAGCTTGTTTAGTTTCTAAAAGTTAAAAAGAGCAAAAGGCTAGACCATTTCAGAAAAGAGCAGGGAGACAGGGACTTGTGCTGCTAAATGTCAGGACTCACTGTGAAGCCTTGTTAATTAAAATAGCATGTTACCAGCTGATGGGGTCAGACAGATATCCCAGTTGAATAGATTGCCCAGAAAAAGACCTATGCAGGGACTGAACTTTGGTATAAGAGAGGTGGCACATTACATTGAGGAAAGGAGACTGACTGTTCAATAATTAGAGCAAGAATAATTGGTTTCCTGTATGGAAAAAACCGTAACAGCCATGGAAAGAAGTTAAGGACTTAAATGTAAAACAGAACTTTAAAACAGAAAGATGGCTACCTGTTAGACCTTAGGATAGAGAGACTTCTTGGCCAGGCACAGTGGCTAATGCCAGTAATCCTATCATTTTTGGAGGCCGAGGTGGGTAGATCAATAGTTCAAGACAAGCTGGCCAACATGAAGAAACCTTGTCTCTACCAAAAAATACAAAAATTAGCCAGGCTCCATGTAATGTGCCACCTCTCTCTTATACCAAAAACAGTCTTCAAGTACAGCTTTAGAAATACAGGAAGTACAGTATAGTGAGCAAAACCAGTCTCAAAATATGCAACGTGCTCACCTATGTACACTTTACAATACATTTGCATGTCATAGATATTATGTGAACAGAAGCAGGATGGTGATGAGGAAATTCACAACAATGTCTTTAGATGAAAGGTGGCGAGGGATGCTCTAGTAAGTGGTCCTATACGTTCAAAGCCCCAGCTTTCTGCATTCAATTTGTATTTCTTTTTAAAATTGTCACACCAAACAAACAGTCTTCCAGATCTACTACACCTAAATCCTAACACCGTTAAGAGTTCTGATAGGGAGTATGAATCTAAAATATATAATGAAGTCAAACAACTCAATAGTAAGAAAACAACCTGATTTTTAAAAAATGGGTAAAGGGTATGAATAGACATTTCTCGGAATACATTAACGTGGCCAGTAGGTATATGAAAACATGCTCACCATCATTATCAGAAAAATGCAAAATAAAACCACAATGAGAGATCATCTCACACCTGTTAGAGTGGCTATTATCAAAAAGACAAAAGATAACAAGTGTTGCAGAGGGCGTGGAGAACAGGGAACCCTTTTGCTTTGTTGGTGTGATGTAAATTAGTACAGCCATTATGGAAAACAGTATAGAGGTTCCTCAAGAAATTAAAATTAGAGCCACCATGTGATTTAGCAATCCCTCTGCGGTGTATATATCCAAAAAAAATGAAAAGTGAGGTAATGTTTACGTTAAATAGCTCAACTTAGCCATTGCACAATGTATAGCTATTTCAGAATGACATGTTTTATGTGATAAATATGTATAATTTTTGTCAACTAAAAAAGTGAAAAAATTCTCCAGGTGTTGTCCCAGACAACCTGGAGATGTGGAGCACCTCTGACGGTAACAGTCAGAATTCTGGTGAGGAGGTGGCAGGAGAGAATGCTGTCATCACACAGGACACTCTTAGAGTCCATCTAGTTCCCCTCGTGCGTGTTATACTTTTTGTACATTAGTGATAAGGAGGTAAGGAAGTGGAAAACAGGATTGCTGACGTTTATTGAGAACTCTCTGTGTGTCCCATAATATGCTGAGATTTTTTGCAGGAGTTTTCTTATTTGATCTTCTAAACAACCTTCCAAGGCAGGTATCATTTTCTATTTCATTTTCCAATGCATGAAATTAAGATTTGGTGATGTACAGTAACCTAAACCCAAACTCAATATGAACATTCTAGAGAGAGAATTCAAATCTTTCTTATTTGAAATCTTAACATATATATATATTCATTTACTACATATAGTTTTCTTTTGTTCAACATCTAGGAAAGGGGCCACAAGGAAAAATCATGCCTAACCAACCTTAGAGAGAGAGAGAGGGAGAGAGAGAGAGAGAGAGAGAGAGAGAGAGAGTGTGTGTGTGTGTGTGTGTGTGTGAGACAGAGATTTTAGTGTGCATTTATTATTGACAAACCAAACAATGTTTGCAGAGAGAGGCACTGAGAATGATCTATTCAGCTATGCCAAACAGGTTGAATACAGAGGTTGTAACTTAACGTGTCAACATTCCTCTGCATTCCTGGGAGCAGCGTGGGATCCACAGCTCAAAAAGGCACTAAACATTTGGCTGAGAAAAAAAGGAACAATTCAGATGGGAAAGCAATTGAATATGTATTTAGTTATAAGGAAATTAGAAGTATTTTGTTGAAATCACCGTGAAGGAGAATCTGAAAAGTGGCTCCTGCTTTGATAACAGTAACTGAGAACTCATTATGTGGTACACGTTATTAAGTCAGATGTCAATGACGTGTTTTTTATTTACGGTGCTGTTATTTGTGAGTCTTTCAAATCCAGCTTAAATCCAAAATGAATTTGAGGTAGTATTCCATCAGAACTTAGATACAATAGTATCTGAAACAAAGCAGACTAAAGACAGAATTGAAGAGGGCGGGCAGAAGAAAATTTATATTGCAGAAACCCTGGCCCTGGGTTAGGACTTTATCCAGTCCCCTTTTCCCCACCCCTTTCAACATTCACTTGCAGTTGAATTACTTAAGTTCACTTCCAAGATCCTCTAAACTTTGATCTCCTTTGACAGAACAGAATGTCATGTATATTTGCACATGACGTATATCTTTGATACAAAAATGTTCTGGACGCATGCCAAACCCATGACGCCCACTACACAATGTGTACCGTAAACATAATTGAGCTCAGACATGAAAAAGAGCACATTTACTTGGCTAAAGTGCTTGGCCTTCGACAAAGTTTCCTCTTTTCCTTGATGACCATGCAGCAGAGCTGAATGTTGCAGAAAAGGCCACCCCATCCTGCCTCCCAGGACAGGCAGCATTCACACCTTGCTTATCTGAAAGGCCACTGTCAAGCTTCTCAGCGCCCTTGCAAGACATCAGTGTCCTCGATCCAGAAAGTTCTCTCTCAGCTCTCTTGTGAAGGAGTGAGGGGCCTGCTTTGTGTGAGTGAGAACTGCAGCACAGTGTGCTTTTTAGTATCAGAGGGAGGCAGTAAACACGGTGCTGCAGCAGAGACTCAAACCAGCCTGCATTGCTGGAGGTGCTGAAACTCTCTGCTGGTCCTGAAAGTGTTCATACCCTTTGACTGAGGAATCTACCCTTAGACAATCGTCAAGGAAAAGAAAACATTCTGTGCGTGTACATCATCATTGAACCGTTATTATTACCATCTAAAACACTGCGACTTCCTTAGCCAATGACAATGACAATGATGAAGCCTATTGCGTCTCAAGGAAAAATATTCAAGAGACTAAGGTAGAGAAAGACTGAAAAATTGCATCTATGTAAAGTTTGTTTTTTTCTTTTTTTTTTTTTTTTTGATGGAGTCTCAGTCTGTTGCGGGGGTGGGGTGCAGTGGTGTGATCTCAGCTCACTGCAACCTCCACTTCCTGGTTTCAAGCAATTCTCCTGCCTCAGCCTCCTGAGTAGCTGGAACTACAGGCGCACACCACCATGCCTGGCGAATTTTTGTATTTTTTAGTAGAGACAGGGTTTCACTATGTTGGCCAGGCTGGTCTCAAACTCCTGATCTCAGGTGATCCACCTGCCTTGGTCTCCCAAAGTGCTGGGATTACAGGCGTGAGTCACCACGCCTGCCTATAAACTATGTAAAGTTTATAAGGATCGAAAAGTCATGTGTATAAAATGTCATGGGGGAAATAAAACATGAAAATGTGAAGACTACGTTGGTGGGATTATAGGCAATATGTTTCTTTTAAAATTATTTTTAAATAACTGTTGTGATGCACATGCCCAAGACATTCATTTCCAAAAAATGAAAACTAAAAAATATAGTATACTTGCAAGTTATTTCAAATGCTGTTTCCCAGATAGAGAACATCTTTGGTGTTTTCAGACACTATGTATAATTAGTGGGTTGGTTAAGTCTATTTTAAAACTATGAAATCTTACTCCATCTTCAGCCATCTCATCCCCACACCCTTTACCACACATACATCTGCCCCACCTCCTTTCCCTAAAAGATTTTGGTTTTCTGTCTCCAAGAGTTTTATCATTTAGGCTTTCGTTAACTTGTGTGTATTCAGTAGAAGCTCCTGGCCTAGCATCCCCCACACAACACATACTCCGTAAAGAAGGAATTAAAGATGTGAGTTGCAGGCGTTTCCCCACGGCCTGGCATAGAGTATGGGCTTATTTATTGGTTATTGCTTCATTTCCTTTTGGTCAACAGCTTTATATTAATGACTTATGTATTTATGGAGCACCTGTTCTGTGCCGGGTGTTTTGCTGGGTGTTGACAGAGTTCCGCATGGAGTAAGAAAGCTCCTGCTTTTGATGGGAAAGGGCAGGGCGACTACAGATGGTGGAAATAATTCACTGCCTTGCGGTGGAGGAGTAGCTTGAATTAGGCAGGTGTCAAGTGCTGCTTGGAATGTCTCAGGGCAGGAGATGAGAGCCAAGAGGCTGTGCCCAGACCGCACTCCTCACTGGGTGATCACTGGTCACGCCTGGTGGACAGGCACCAGAGTGATCTCAGGGGCTAGGAAGGGGGCTCAACAGCGGGCCTGGCTTGCCATACCCACTCGTCTGAAGCCTTTTGGTTTCAGGCCCATTTAGCTCACCTTATCCTGCCATCTTCCAGCCTCTCCTCCCCAAGCCCAACTGCACAGCAGCCCCCCTAACGCCGCACTCACTGTGCCGTTCCTCAAGGATCTTCAGGGAACCCTTGCCCAGACTACCGTCTAGTTTTCTAGGTTTCAGCTGGCATCCTGGCTGTTTTAAAGTGTGCCTGACTGCTTCACACCACCAACAACACAACTCAGTCTGGCGTGTTCCCAGTGTCCTGGCTGTGACATGGTCTCAAAAAACTGCAGCTGTCTGCACATGAGTGATTAGGCAACGCCTCGAACCCACCGTAAGATAGCCTGCCTTTCCCTCTCCTTCCTTCCTCCTTTTCTTTCTCCCTCTCTCTCTTTTCCTATTTCCCTTTTTTCTTTCCTTTCCTTTATCCCCCTCCCTCCCTTTCCTCTTCTTCCCTCCCTTCTCTCTTTCCACACACATAATCTCTGTATGCCAGGCGCCATTCTAAGTGCTCACAAACATTCATTCATTCCATTCTCATATCGACTTTGTGACTATCAACATTATACAGGGAAGGAAGCTAGAGTAGAGGGAGGTTAAGTCACTTGTCCAAGGTTGAGCAGCTTGTCAACGTCATTTTACCACTGACACGTGAAACAGGTGAGTTATATTTTTTAGAATATTAGTTATCATGAATTGAAGCCTTCCTAATAGGCATAACTGTCCCCTTCTCTGACATACAAGCGGAAGTGTCCTAGCTGGAAGGAGCAGCATGGTTTATAAAGGGAGAAAGGACGCGACTGGGTGGTGTTCTGAAGCCCAGGAAGCAGCTTCTGGGGAAACAGCAGCAGTGTCTGCTGTTTCCAGGAAGCGGACGAGAGTCCTGTTGAGCTGAAGAGCAGGGAAGCAGCTGCGGGGAGCAAGGCTGGAGTCATGCAGGCCAGAGCCTTAAATGCTAAGCTAGGGTTTGCTTTCGGTAGGACCAGCTGCCCTGAGCGGGGGCTGGAACCGGATCTCCTCGAGGTGGACTTGCGGACTGGACAGAGATCAGGGCGGGGGGCG